CTTGGAGGCGCGGGAGGGCCCTGCCCCGCTCGGCCAGTGCTTGGGGGTGCTAATCCTCGGGGGGTCCTGAGCCTTCCTCGGCTCCTCCTGGCGCAGACGGGATTCCTCTGGCTCCTTCGATGTTTCAGGAGAATGTGTTGCTTTGCTTTGTAGCAACTGCTTCGTTGCTATAGTTAATAAAGTTAAATGATCCCCTCTCAGAAATCTATAACCCTTTTTCATCTGTACGACTAATGTATAAATTGAACAAAGATCGTTTCACCCGTCTGCTGCCACACGACGCCGTAGCAGTGTGAGCTTGGAACAGGAGGTCTTTGGTTGGAGAAAGCTGTTGGTTTAAGATATGTTAAGCACCCAGATTCTTGAATTTGCTGGGAACTGAAGGTATTCTGCATTTTTTTGAAGTAAATATGTCCACTTTTGGTCTCTGGCTGCTATACCCTGTTAAGAATTGGGTATGTTTAATTTGTAATAAAACAATATGTGCATGTATCAGCTTGTCATTCATTTTGGGACTATACTATGTCAAAGGTATGTTACAAAAGCATACCCTCAATAGTATTTCCCTGCGGAAACTCCCAGTAATCCAGTTTTTCACAAACTTGATGTTTGTCAAGTCTTTGTTTTGTGAGTTAATATCAAAAGACTAATTCCTCCTGAGACCAGAATAGTGCTTCTTGATCCTTGTAGTCTGCTTTTCATTCACTTGTTTTAATGAAAAAAGGTCAAGTGAATCACTTTAATGACTACACAACTGTGTATGCACATTTCAGTTATTAATAGGTTCTTAATGCTTTAAAGCTTCCTGCATATTTTTCTCACAATTGGATTTAATATTAATATAACACTTTACCTTCCAAATAACCCTACTGCCTTTTTTGTTTTAACTTGAGAAAGAAAATGTAGGTTTTTAAGACAGCTAAATCAAATGGCCCATGTTGATGACCTGCCTGAGTGAACACAAGCAAGCACCTACCTGTCCGTCGCCTGTGTAGGAACAAGTGCGTTTCACCGTCTGAGAATGGCAGCTCCTCTCCAAGGAGGCGTGTTTGTGCTGAGTGCCCTCGTGGTTTTATTGTTTATGATTTATTTCCTCTAAACTTGGCTGAGCATCAGATAGGGAAAAGGATTAGGGGACAGATTTGGTGTCTCTTGGGATCCCTTCCAGTTACATCTTTTGTAATGCTGAGTGCGGTTCATTCAGAACCGGGAGCCATACGTGCTGATAGCTGTTGTACTGCTGCTGAGCTGGAATTAGAGATCGTGGAAGAGCTCCACAGCTGCCAATTTGGAGAGCTGTCTAGACCTTTCTCTTTTCTCTCTGTCTTTGCCCTACCATTCTCAGCTGAGTAGTTAATCTTATTTTTTACAACAGGGATAATGTGGAGTGGTCAGAAGAGCAGGAAGCCAGTGCCAGGAGTAAAGTTCAAGAGAACAGCTCACAGCTATTGCCACAAGATAAACAAGGTACTTTTGGATACTATTGTAATGCTGAGTCTTAACTTGTTCATACAAGAGCGGAACAGTCTGGCCAGAGCTGCATATGCATCATCATTTATTCCTCCCTTCCCCCCATCTCCCGAATCATTCAAAATACATTACCTAGTGGTTGATAATGAAAAATGGAGGAGGAGGAATCTTTCTGTTCTTAATTTACCTCTTTGTGACTTTTCCGCCTTCTCCAGAGACTCATCCTACTGGAACAGAAATGATCTTGGCTGGGAGGAGTCATCCTGAGTTGAGCTGCTCTGTTCATGTTGTGTATGTTTAAATACTTGTTAGTGTTCCTTGTCAACAAACTTCTTTCAGTGTAGAGCAACAGCCTCATTTAGTCTTATTTTCTCTGCTTGCTTTTGCTCTCTAAAGCTTAACTTCTCACAGGCAATCTTTTGTTTGCTTGCATGCTGTGGAGCTATCCCTAATGCAAGCTTGGTTTTTCTCTTAAGAGGGTCTAATAAAGTAGTGTCCATATTCATCTCTACCAGGTTAACAAACAGCATGATAATGATTAAATCAGAAGCGAAGAAAAATGATTTTATCCTGATTGAAGTGTTCATCATCAGAGAGGCAGAAAAGGGATTTCAAAGTTTTTGTTTCCTCAGACTTGGCTTAAAGGATATTTATACATCCAAAACGCAAAGCTTACCTGAATCTGAATCAAGCTAAAGGTGCGCAGCTCTATAGCCAAGTAATATAGTTGAAGCTGTTCTGAGTTGGTTAATAATGCGTCTTTCCTCCACACCTGTTAGATATCATCCAGTCCCTTAAATGATGGTGAAATGGCTTCCTGTTCCTTGCTATGATAAGAGACTTTTTTGATGATGATCTTGTTATATCCTGCTGAGTTCTAGGATGGGTCTGCTCCTTTTGTTCAAATTAAATTGAGTGTGTCATCTGTAAGGCGCTGCTGAACACTATTGGAGCTATTGAGACACTTCCCATATAGCTTCCAGTTGTGTTCACAATAGCAAATTTAATTATACCAAAGAGCAACCCTCCTAATTTCTTGGATTCCCAGAAGTATCCAGCAGTTTCTATTGTGATACCCATTGTGCTGAGTTCATTTTAAAATCTGGTTAACATTAAAGGATGCTGTCTGTCATGCTTTGAGAACCTATATACAACTATGAAATTGTGGAGCAATTTACTGTTAAAGCAGTTTGTCAGGTCTTCATGATGTATTTCCCAGACTGAACAATGGAGGCCAGTCAAATTTTGATCATTGCTATTCAGTGGGAAGCGTGTGGAGACAATGGGATGGCTGTAACGTAGGGAAGCAGCCCAGCCAAATGTGCCTGAAGGGTCTAGTATTTTGAGAATCAGTAATGTCCAAGCAGGAGAACAAAGGCAGGCTATTGGTCATTATGGCTGTATTATTCTGTGGACTTCTTGGGGCTGTCAGAATTTGTTCTGAAGACGGAGAGAAGTTCTGTGGGGTATGTCGAAGATGCTTCTCCTGGCTGGGAGCAAAGAAAGAAGTGGAAGAGTTTCTTGGTTTCCTTTTGAGGCTCCATAATTAGCCCCTCATGCAGTTCAGGGGGTCCCTGGTTCTTTTCCTGTCTTTTGTGAACAGTTACTTTTGTTTGCCTTTCTTCTGCAATGTGAAAGGGTGAGTATGGGCTTGGCTTTGGGGGTGTCCTTACAAAGACAAGCAGAAAAGTCAGGAGTCCTTATCAAGAAAATCTGTGGAGGAATCTGGCTCGCACGCCAATGTCCCCATGAGCTAATACCACAAAAAGGATCTTGAAGCGAGTATTATGTGAACTTTTCTGGCATGAGTTGTGCACGAAGTTGGGCTGAAAAATTAATATGGTCATTTTTTTGTTTTAAATCTGTTTCTTGCATGATCTTTGTCAGCTGGCCCTTGATTTCTTGCATTTATATTGTTACTGATCCTTTATTCCAGTGCTTTGAAAACACTAGGCTATGAGGTAGATGAGCTTTAAATAAAGCTTACACACATGTGGGTTGGAGCTGTTCAATAGCATCCAACTGAATTTCACAATAATTTAACACAGGAAGAGCACAATGTCTTGTTCAGCGTTATACTGTGGCAAAAATGTGGGTAATCCAAAATGGCTGGGCTGGAATTTTACTCCAGCACCTCAGGTAAGCATCCCATTACAGTCAGGCTGTCATGAGATTGTTAGGGACCAGCAGGAATCAGGACTTTGTATTTTTGTTAGGTGGAAGAGCATTTCCAGCCCCAGCAGCCTTGCATATCCCTACTAGTACATGGAAGAAGTGACAATTCAGGAAGAAGTGCGTCAGGGTATGACTCAATAACACTTCTTCCTCTGACGTTAGCAGTCATTGAAGTCTCCTATGCAAATAGTAAACTGACTTGACCCTGCTAACTTTGAGCTACGGTGAGATCATGGCACAAACTTACTGCTCTAGTTTAATACCAGACATTAGAACTTCTTTCAGCTTGGGGTTTAAGGACAAGGCTTCTTAAAAGGAGAAAATCCTTGTAGTTGAGGTAAAGAGATTATTTTTATATATAGCTCTTTGTGCTTCAGGGGTAGATCCTACTAAAAATATACATACGACTGACTTCTGGTTCTTTGTTAAAGCCATTTTTGTCTATATTTGGCTGAGGCTGCATATTTTTCCAGGTGTTCTTGGTTCATTTTACTATCTCCCTTCAGATGTCTTCTAAACACTTGTATCCTTTTCAGAAAGACTAATAAATAAACTGCAGTTCAGATAATAATACTAATCTCCAATTTCAAGATGCCTGCTTTTTCTCTTAACCCTACTTTTAGTAGATGTTGGAGAGAGGTTATCCATTCTCACGTACAGTCATCATCTTTAACTGTGGGAGAATCATTTGCGTTCAGTAATGCATTTGTTGCTGTGCAAAGATGGCTAAGGAGTTGCATGTTACTGAAATGCAGTTGGGATCTCTGGCCGTGGATGTTAATGCCTCTAGGTGATTACAAGCATAGGATGCTATAATTAGTTCTTATTTCCCAGGACAGAGAACTCATCACATTGATGAGAATTCAGGAAGCCAGGCAGAGAACTCATTGTTTAATATCTTTATTGATATCTTGATTGATATCTATATTGATATATCTTGATTGATATCTATATTGATATCATCTTTATTGATGATCTGGATGAGGGGATTCAGTTGGATTCATAACTTCCCATGGAAAAAATAGTTCCCCTACAACTGTACTTGATCTGAAATCTGTGAAGGTGTGTGGAAATAATGCTGTGGGTGACTCGAATTTCATGAGATCATGGCTTTTTAAGAGTTCTTCCAGCTTTCTGTAATACCCATCTTGCTACTGGAATGTATCCACTTGGTGTGAAAATGATAACGCTTGCTGCTAAAGTTAATTATTATCATCTTTAGTCTATCCGCCTTAGCTCTCCACAGTGTCCACTTTAATGACAGTGGTCACTTCTGTTGATTCCGCTCTTTTGTTTTAATTTCATAAACGTGTGATGCTCTAACATGCACGGAACTATGGAAAACAAAGTGCTGTAGACTGGACTCTAGCAATACTTGTGTAAAACATGCTGTCCTGTAATCTTGGAGTATTGCACAAATGCTAATTGAGCTTTCTGCCAGGCCTGTATAGTTGACTAATTTTTCTGTTTCTCCATCTGAAAAAGGGGGTAGCGTGTTGGACAGGAGCTCTTCAGCTCCAGGCAACTGTCATAGAATTCCTTGGAATTTGTAAGTGCTTGACACTTGGTATCATGAAGCTCCAAATGAATTGTTCCAGTGAACTGAACAAGTTAGTGTTAGAGATGGAAGTAAAACCTGGATTTCTTCACTCCAGTCTCCTTCAAAGAAGCCTTTTCTGTTGCCAGCTTCCTTTTAATCCTACCAGGAGACAGACAGTTTCCTCTTCTATCTCTTTTCCCTTTTTTAGTCCTAACAAAGTGGCTGTGAGGAGGCAGGCTGAGTGTTTATGTGGGATGGCATGATTTAAATAAAGGTGATTTTCAATCAATAACCTTACTTATTAAAGCAGATTGCTGAATAGATGTCTGCAGTGATCTCTCACTGTCTGAACTGATTAAACTCTGAGACCTTCTGATTTGACTGCTGGGGACGTTTTTGTTTGTGTTCACAGAGGAATACGAGGTGAATGCTAAGAGGTACTGGGATGACTTTTATAAAATCCATGAAAATGGCTTCTTCAAGGACAGGCACTGGCTGTTCACTGAATTTCCTGAGCTGGCACCTAACAGGAACCCAAGTCAAAATGGGGATTCTGTGCATGAATTTAGTAACAAAGAAGAATCCAACAATGAAGGGCCGGGAAGCTGTGAAAATGGACATTGTTCATTGGAAACCAGGGCAGAGAATCAGTTAAACCTGATAAAAAGCACACCTAAGATCTGCACAGAGGAGTTGGCTACACAGAAGTATAGTGAGCGGAATCAAAGTGATGGAGATTACCCAGGATCATCTGCATCGTACCGTATATTAGAGGTAATAGTTGTAAAAGAGAGTCACACACCAAACAGTCCCCTGTATCAGTGTTAGTGTGACTGGGACATAAAAATATGTATCATTGGCAAAGAGCAAGTGAATGGGATGATTGCCTTAAGTCAGTAAAATGTAGAAAACAGAGGGTAGCTTAGGACTGAATTAGATCTGTTGGGATTCCTTTGGTTCAGACTGTGAATTGGCAGAGCACAAGGACCATAAGAAGTTTCCAAGTTTAAAAGGCAAACTATTACTATCAGATGTTGAAACAAGCATTTAAAAGTCATCTTTTGAAGAAGCTGATTCTTTTACTTGTCTATGTAAAGCTTTCCTTTGTCCTTTATGTTTTGCATGTTTGTGCTGACTCTTGTTTGCCTTGGGAGGTGTGAAACAAAACAATGAAACCAAGAATGTAAAGATGCTGTTTGATTTGTTCCTTATGGCCCGTGTAATACCGGGGAATCTCAGATTGGTACAGGGTTTGTCCCGGAACAGTCTGTAGGACTTCTAAACATTAGACTCCTGACAGCTGGTAATGACCTTTTGCTCTGCCACCTCTATTTTGTTCACTGTAGATATCGCTGTTTTTGTTGAATGCTTCATGTTCTATGAAGTTCCGCCCTTTCAGGGAAAGTCAATATGAACTATCCTTTCGATTTTTTTTTTTATTTAATCTGAGGCTTTGAGACTTCCTCAGACTTTGATGTTCTTGGGTCATTGTGGCTTTCCTGTCTCACCTGAGTACTTTCAGTAATATCTGCAAGCCATCATGGTGTTTTCTGCTCAGTCTATTTCAATTTTACTGATCCCTTAAACATTCAGAGGCGAATTCCCCAAACCCAGTTGTGTGAGCCATCTTCTTTTCAGATGGGAACAAGTAGAAGGAATAATAAGGCAGAATCATTGTAGGCCTAGCTGTAACTTAAGGAAGAGCCATCTAGTGAAGGAAACTGTGAAACAGCAGGATGTAATTATAGTAAGGCAAACTTCTTTCTGCATTGCTCTGATTTTCTATGGAAGTGAAATCAATTAATCCATGGCCTTTGCCAATGCTTCAGTGACTCATACTGGTTGTTATGCTTGGGATTCCAGCAATAACAGTTTTCAAGAGAGTAACAATATATAGCTTGTTAGTAAGATTTCTACAAGATCTGGCTTAGTGGTTTCCCACAAATGCTTACATGTAAGCCTGCTCCTCAGAGCTGAACATGTTCAGATCTTGCAGTGAGATTTGCAAATGGTCACTGCTATGCTCAGTTGTTACTCATGAGTTGCTCTTTGTTCTGTGGCTGTAGAGAGATGATTTGAAATTAGCTGCATGGGACATGCCGAAGAAATTATTTTCACTATGTGCACATCTGCTTTGTTTGTGCAGGTTGGCTGTGGCGCTGGAAATACAGTCTTTCCAATTTTACAAACCAACAAGTAAGTAGTTCTCAGTAGGTTTTTACCTGCATGATATACCAGCCTCTGAAAAACAGTTGGAAAAGTGTTGCATGTGTTCTTAGTTTAGACAATCTCAGAGAAAGGCCAGATGCAAATGGTACCTTTGCCATCTGCAACTTGAAACGATTGTTTTGAGCTTGGAAATCTTTGGTCTTGGAATGCAATTCATCTGCAACTTCAAATGATTGTGTTTTGAGCTTGGAAATCTTTGGTCTTGGAATGCAACCAACGAAACATGATGCGAGTTTACATGTCGCATTCTGAAAGCATTTTCATACAGGCCTTAGTGTCTCTCCTTTTCCGGAAGGAAAAGTAAGCAGTCAGTTCCATGAGAGAATAACTGAGGCATAAAGGAGCAATGTGATTCACCAGATTTTGCACAAGGCATTATTGACAGAGATAGACTAAAGCCCAGGATTTCTGGCTCCCAATTCTGTGCTCTGTGCATCTGAGACACTTCTTAATTCCTGTGGAGCACCTTTATATAAATGATGATAGTTTCTTTTATTTATTTCAGTGACCCAGGCCTTTTTGTTTATTGCTGTGATTTTTCTACAACAGCTGTGGATCTTGTCCAGGTAAACTCAGTGGTGACTTATGAAGGTAGGAAGTACATGGTGCCAATTGCACATTAACACAAATATATCACAGTTGCCACCGGCTGTCTAGCTATGTTGGCAGCTTTCTTTTTTTAGCTAGCCCTGATGCTGACCCTTGTACTGGTAAATCAGGAAAATGAGCCATCAAAGATTATAGAAATGAGGGAAGTTGGAGTTCTCAAAATGTCACATTGGCAGCAGACAAGTCAGCCAGATTTTCTTTCCCCTGTGGTTGGCAGTACTTTTCTAAATCCAGTGCTCTTTTAGCTGAGTAACTGCTGAACCTTGAAAACATTCAGGCTATTTTTTAACAGGAACTGAAGCTGGTTTTGGTTTGAGTGTGCGTTACTGTCACTGCAGTTCTGGGAACGTGGTCTGATTGCTTCTGCACAGACAGCTGAGGAGGGATACTGTTGTCTGTGGAGCAGGAGGCTGGAATTTAATCAAAGGACAGATACTGCTAACAAATGTCAGGTCAGAACAGAACTGAGAATATATGAAGTATCAAATGTAATCAGTTGCTTCTTGAGATGGGGAGCACAGCAGCAGAGGCAGCATGCCATTTCATCCTCTTAAGCTGACACAAGCACTGTTTATAGAGGCTACTGCAATCTGTAGCAGCAGCTTTAGAAAAATACACAGCTTCTTTTAGAAGTCTAAATGTGATTTTTAAGAGCGTAACTTTAGGCAGCCAGGTTTGATGTTTGGGGTATTAGGGAGTAGTCTGCTTGTAGTTGAATATTGATTTCAGTGATGCAGAGAGGGTCCCTGACACTCTCACTTTTGTAAAGATTTCCAGCTTAACAGTGTAAATCCCTCACTTCTTACCACTATTAGTGGAAAATCTGACCTTAAAATTGCAATAATCCCTCAGTCCAGTTTTGGGGTTTTGGCAGTGCTGATTGTCTGAATGTAACAAGTCCAAAGCTCTTTGTAAATCTCCCATGTGTACTTCTTTTTCACATTTCACCCCTGTTCCTTGTCTGACCCGGGAACGTATCTGACCCCATCTGCCTTAGTCCAGTGAGGTTGAAACAGATCTCTGGACACACCACTTTATTATGTGAAAGTTAAAATGCTCCCATGTCCAGATGATATTGAGATCAGGGTCTGCTGCTAATGCTCTAATTTCTCTCCCCTTAAATACAGAACAATGCGGAATACGATTCTTCTCGCTGCTTTGCGTTTGTCCATGACCTGTGCAATGACCAAAGTCCTTTCCCAATGCCAGATGTGAGTCTTGACGTTGTTATTCTTATCTTCGTCCTCTCAGCGATTCTCCCAGAGAAGTAAGTTTTAATAATTCCTTCTGGTTGCAGAAGATAATGCATATAGAACTGGAGTTCCTTAACAGTAGGTCGTCTCATATCAAGCAAAATTAAAGCTTGTTCTGTGTCTGGTCCAGTTTTCCATTAAGCCTCTGAAAATGAAATTTGCAGGTACTTTCTGTTGTAACAAATTCTGGTACAGGATAGGTGTGATTTGGAAGTGGCTATAGGTGACGTCTTGCTGTGCTCACAGTTGCTCACCTGTTCTGAAACCCAGCTGCACTGAGTACTCAGCTCCCATTTGTGGAAAGTATGCTGCTCAATTTTAAGGCTCAAAGGCTACATGAATTTCTCACATGGGAGGTGGCAAGAAGGGAGGGGACAGGTTCAGAAAACAGTTAAGTGCTGTGATCTTAGTGTGACAGTGTGTTACAACCTACACTAGTCTCTCTTTCTTGTTCCCTTTGGTTTTATTTCACAGCATTTTTCAAGTTCACTTATTACTTGTTTTACAGAAACCAGTGGAGATACTTTTGTAATTATTAAGAGAGAGCAGTTAATCCCTGCTGTGGCAGGCTAAGTTATCACTGTAGAAAAAAAAGCAGAATCGAGGAGTGTCAGAAATAAGGCAGCCAAATAAAATCAACCCACCTAAGTCTGAGAGAGCTCAGAAAAGTGGTAGCTCTTTATATGAAATTGAAACATAGATAAAACTTTATACCTTCTTTTTGGAAAGTAGGCTAAGGAAACAAGCATCGTTTTGCAGAATGATGAATACTTCTGTTTTGTTCTTTCCTCAGGATGCAATGCATCGTTAACAGACTGAGTCGCCTTCTGAAACCAGGAGGAATGATTTTGTTACGAGATTATGGCCGTTACGATCTGGCCCAGCTTCGGTTTAAGAAAGGTATTTTCTTTTCCCCTGGGGAGTCTTGCGAGATCACTAATAGATGATGCTTCTGTGGAGTACTGTCTACCCTGTTTAGGAGGCAGCTCATTAATTCCCCTTAAGCACAGCATGTGCTGGGAGAAGTGCCTCTTGTCTTTACGTGCAGTTGGATGGCAGTTGTTGATTTTTAAATGATAGCTGGTAACTGTTTAAATCCCTCTTGCCCTTAGGCCAATGTCTGTCTGATAACTTCTATGTGAGAGGTGATGGCACCAGAGTCTACTTCTTCACACAAGGTAGGAGGCTAGAAAACATCCCTCTGACGCTCCTCACCTCTTTTTGTCCCTGTGCCCTCAAGTTTTGCCACTAGCTCTTTCCAGCCTGTCTTTCCTGGAGCAGTGTGAAATGTTAAGTGTCTCCCAATTGCACGGGTACCCGGGCTTGTCACTCGCTGATGCGAATATGGCATGGTGAATTCCTTAGTGGAAAATCCTTTTAGCGAAAGACTAGTGTGTTTGGTACACTGGGAGGGGTGGGATTGGAGGAGCTCTCCTTCAATCTTGTTGCCTGCAGAGGATGGAGTAAGGTGGACACTTCTTGAAGGAACTTCTCTTAACTTTACTGTTCTCCTACGAGGACAAAAGAAGGGCGTGGTTCAGCATAGAGCTGAGGCAGCCCCTCCAGTTCTGCTGCTGCTTGGTGTTCAGCAGGGGTTGTATTCTCCCTGCTTATCACCAATTGCACCTCCAGTCACTTCCACCACGGGCCCCTCTGCACGGTCAGTTTTAGAGCGGCGGCACAACTGCAACGAACTATTCCCTTCCCCACTGCACAAGTCTTGTTTGTCACAACAAAATTAATGTTTAATGCGTGTTTGGCAAACACTTCACAATGGCAAGCATCTGATAAAAGAGCACAAGCTGGGACCTGTTAGCCCTTTTCTACAGAAACTCCGTACGAATCACGTGCTCCCAGGCTGCAGTTGAACAAGCTCTCTGCTGCTCAGCAGGACTCGGTCTGGCTTTGCCTACGGCCGGTGTGCTGGGGCACTGTGATACTTACTTGCTTGGTCAGGATACCTGCCAGTGTAAGTGTTGCAGCCTCGAGGGCTCTTAGAGCTTTGATTGGGCCCCAGCAGGGTGTGGTTTTTTTAAGCATTTTTTTTCCCAAACTTAACTTTAATGAATCCGGTTCCCCTCCAGCCTATACAGCACAGATCTTATTGCCACCATTTAAAAGCATAGCTCTGATCCCATTCTTCATTCTTGCAGACTCTGAAATTCCTCTGGAGAGAGGGGGGGAGGGGGAAGGAATGGATCTGTCCCTACTCGCCAGAAGATGCTCCCTTAATTGGTTCCTAGAGGCGATACCCATGTCTGAAACTGCTGCTGTTTTCTCTTTGTCGAGTCTGTAATTCTAGTTGTCCTCCAAATAGTTCTTTCCTTCCTTGGCAGAAGGTAAACTCAAGGGTAACTAGAGAAACTGTGATCTTAATGCCCCCATAGTACAGTAGTTAAGTCCTGTCTGATCTTTATGTTTCCCTGCCAGAGTGAGACCCTGAGTTTCCTCTGGCCCATCTTTCAACATGGTTTAGCCCTCAGTGTGAGCAGGTATCAGTTACATGAAAGCTATGGCATCCTCAATCTCCTTCTCTCTGCTTCCAGATGAATTAGATGATCTCTTCACAACAGCTGGGCTGGAGAAAATCCAGAATCTGGTTGATCGGCGATTGCAAGTGAACCGTGGGAAACAAATGACAATGTATCGAGTATGGATCCAGTGCAAATACCGCAAGCCTGCTGCCCCTCAACTGTGAGGAAACAGGGCATGCTTTTTAGGTTGGAGCCTCTTCGTGGCCATGGGCAGTGTGTCCTCCTGGTGAGATGTGGTTTTACAGAGTCCAGCGCACACAGGACCTCAGTGCCTTTTACAGTGCCTAGCATCACTTCAAGTGAGTTCTGCTAAGGACGAATGCTCTAAGAGGAGACCAAGCAGTATTTTAGATGTCTTGCTACTGGTCTGAGTTTTTTAAATTATTTATGGTTTTAACAACTTAAGAAATGGCCAAGCTGTCTTACAGCAGCTGAGCAAGTTGAGTAGTGACTCTTACTCTGGATTTCCACATGAAACAGGAGAGCTTCGACCTTACCTCTGTGTTATGTGCTCTTGTCTTGGGAACAAAAACCGTACAAAGGGTAAAGCTGCTCTTCTTTGCAACTGGTCACTATGCCTAATATGGATCACTTAGCCAACTTATCTCATGCAGCTCTCTTCTAGTCATTCAGGTTTGTGCAAATCCACAAGTTAAAATACGTGGATCGAGGGTGGGAACTGAGCACATGGTAGTTTCTCCGTGCCAGTTTCCCCATGGATGCCTCATGGTGTGCAAATAACCTGTGGAGAAAGCAGTTTATGCTGCCTTGCCCTCACTGTCCACAAGGATGTTCATCTAGGGAGCCAGCACACTATAGCTCAGGTGCTATAAATTTATGTCAGACAAGGTTCAGGCTTTCAAGGATTTGGGGCTGATGCCAGTTTTGGGGCACCTCCGGAGTGCAGAGTATCACAAGCAGTTCACGGGACCAGGGTTTACACAGAATTACCTGCTTTTTCTGCTTGAACAGTGAGAAACTGTTCTTGCTGGCTGCAGCCCCCAGGTCACGAACTGCACTGCCCTGTCATGGTGGTGTGCTAAACCCAAGTAGACAAGACACCTGTCTTTGAAAAGAAATCTGAAGAATGTCTACCACTCTTGTTTAATTTCTTAGAGGAAGCCAACATTGTGGCTTTCTGAAGGTGTTTCCCCACCTTTGACAGCAAATACCTTTTATCTCAGCTTGTTTTCTTTTGTTGTTTTTAGGGTGTGGTACAACAGGTACTAGAATAAATTTTGTGGTAATGCTTTTCAATGCTGGTTTGATTAATATAAATCAGGCTTCCACAGAAACTCACATGCTTCTGTGCGCCTCATCTGAAGGATTTGGGCCACCGTTAGGTAACCGCAGTTTTTTTTCCTCTTCTGTTATCATGAGTCTCACTGGTGCCTGCTCTCGTCTCTCAAGAAGGGAAAGCCTTGGCTGATACCTCCTGCCTTGTTTTAGTTCATGAAGCAACAAGGTCTATTGTGTGTGCACCGCTGGCTGAAGAGCAGTTCATGCTACACAAAGCATGTATATTTTGTTAGCTAGACACTTGTATTTGTAGCTTACAGTTGCCTAAGAATAACTGTCAACTATAGAGACACGTAGGTTATGAAATAACTGCTGTCTTGAAATGGGGGGGAAAGGGTAAAAAGATGAGGAAATGTCATTGCTATCTTTGGAGAGTCTGCAGGAGTCCTGGAGAGTCAAACCAGGACCACCCTGATTTGTAAAGTGTTGGAAGGGGCTGTAGCAATGCTCTTTCCTGGGCATGTGGCAGCATGATCAGTTCATAACTTCCATGTCGCTGTGTCACCCTGCAGGTATTAGTATGTCTGCTACACAAAGGCTTCTGGGTCAGGACATTTCAGTCCTTCCTGTGGAAAGGTTACCCAGCAAATCCCTTCACACCACAAAGGCAGGCTGCGATGCTGGGGCGGGAATGGAAATGTACTATTGCTTTTTTTTATATATCTAGCTCTTTTAAATAATGTTGAAAGAGAATCAAATAACTGGGAAGAGGATTCTTGTTCAATTTGTTGTACTATATTTCCTAAAGGGCTAAGAAACTTTCCAGCGTCTGCAAATGGCATGGGAGGAGATAAGGCTTGAAGCAGCTGGTTTTGGAAAGCAGAAAAACGAACGGGAGATCGTTTCGCTTCACAGCTACTGTGTGGCCTTTTCTGCTTCTCCATCTCCTGTCCTTTTTTGTAAAGGCAGTTCAAAAATCATACCTTGCTACTGACCTGCCCTCGATACATCTTCACTAGGGTGCAGGGGGCAAAACAGCACATGGGGGGAGCACATGTTCCTTAGCTCTCCAATTCCTGCTGGTCAGCATGTGGGCTTGAAAAGCTGAAGGGTACCATAGTGTTGAAGGCGGGGAAAGCAGGAGAAAATGTCAACAGGGGTCTTGAATTCTCCTTCCGTCCCTCCTGCTTGCCCCTAACACATTTGGCTTCTGCCGGGCACAAGCCTGACTCAACCCAGAAGCTGTGCAGCCGCTGCTATGGTTTCGTGCTAGACCTACAAAGTCTGGTCCCCTGGCAAGGTTGGTACCTCAGGCAAGGTCTAGGCAAAACACAGCTTAAGGCCTCTGGGAGCTGAGCAAACTCATGTCTCCTCATCTTATCCAGGCAGAGAGTCAGGCTTAGCAAAAGAAGTCCTGTGAGTGTTTGACGTGACGTGACTCATGTAACCAGCTCTGTCGCTTTCAGTGAAAGACCTCCCATATGTTACTGGTTCCTTAGACAGTTCCCTGGGGTCCTTTCCCTCTTGGTCCCTGGAGGGAGACCTCCTCCTGGGATAGCTTTATCTCCCTGGAAGAAAAATTATTGACTGGGGTAAACAAGCAGCATAATTAGTGTGAATTAAAGTAATTTGAAAAATGCCTTATTAATCATCCAAAGGCGCGTAAGCAGCACAGGAAAATATGTTTTTAATTATAAACATGATTTATTTAAAGTTGATGGACTCCCCTTTAAATTTAAACTCCTGAATGGGAGAAAATGAAGGCTAGTAATTTATTTGTTTCCACTTTCAAGGCTACATCCCAGTTGCCTGCCTGGTTTTGACTTGGGCTTCATGCAAAAACTTGCAGCCCTGTGAGCCTGCAGCCATTGAAGTGGCTCTTTGCCTTTCTTAATGCTCTTCATTCTGCTGGAGTATTTAAGCAATCACTCAACATGAACCATGCTGGGCAGACATGCTTTTGTTTCCAGTCCTGTTGGTGGTGTTCAGAAAGCAACAAGTTAATGGCCTTGAATTGAGCCAGGCCTCCTACAGACAGATACTGTCTGAGCTTCCTTCATTAATCTCCGCCAGCTCCCGTTCTCTCTGAAGCTGCTGCTCTCCTGCCACTCCAGGCCTTGCCTCCCACACAGCTCTGCTCAGGTACCTTGGTCCTGACTTGCAGCAGCTTCTGCCATTCCCACCTTGGGCCTGCTGAGCAGGCTGGGTTGCACAACGGCTCTCTAGCATGTTCAAAGGAAATCTCTGAATTGACTTCTACTATATTGAAAAGTCAGGTTAAGTGCCTTTATTTTGTTCTTTTTTTTTTTTTCTCTTCCCTTTTAGCAGTGTAACATTAGCTTTAAAGCCATTCTGAACGTATCTGCTCTGGTTTTGTTCCCAGCATTCCAGTCTTGTGGTCTGTGGCTCACAGGCAATGCCAACGTAGCTTGTCGAACCTCCCAAGCAGAAGAGATGATTTCATAGCTCTTCAGAGGCGCTGCCCCTGTGATTCTGGAGCCAGACATTGTTACACTTCGGAAAGTCTGGTCCTGGCTCTTGCCAGGGGATGGTGGATTTCCTTGGAGATTCGTAGATTGTTTTGGCTGGAAGGGAACTTCATCATCACCTATTCTGACCCTTTGCATAACCCTTTCATGTAGGGGTTATGGCTTCAAGCCTGTGACTTGGGCTGAGCCAGAACTAGTCCTTCAGAAAGGCTTTCGATCCAGCCATGATGCTGAGGGCTCCAGTGAATGGCAAAGAACCCTTTGCCTCCCCAGGTACATTGTTCCTCTCACGGCATCCTGATTTCACAGATGGGCTAGAAGCTGGGAGGCAGGAAGGGAACAGGGGAGGTAAACAGAAGAAGAGGCGGGGGATTATTTCTGATACTGTCACTTCAAAAATAAATTGTAAATTCCACTGAAAATTGGAGCTTTCTCAGGAACTTTCTGACAGCACAGGAAAGTGGGAAATGGCAGTCATCCTTAGTGATTTTTATTGTTACAACAGTAATCATCAAATGCTTCTGACCAGAAGCGTGTGAGACCAGACACAATTGTCTTCTCTTCCAAATACTTCAGCTCCACCTTCTCAGGGTATGTCACCACCATTTCTAATTCTGTAGTTAGTTGTAGAGCTCCAGGATAAATGAGACCTGATTATTTTCAGTAAAACAAGAGGTGTGAGCAGAAGGAACCTCCATGTATGCGTGCCAGCGGCTTTTGGCATTGCGTCGTAACTAAAGCTGAAAGAGCTTCCTTTTGTCGTTGGCATTGGGATGAGCCCCGGCTAGTCCCCAGTAGGATTTCCTACATGAATCACAGACCCAAACTGAACTTAACTGTTTTTCCTGAGCACAGATGAAAGATGCACAGGTTTCAGTGCCTAGAAGTGAGGGCACGGATGAGGATGAGGCCGCAGGGATCAAGTTATTAAGGGATTTGGGGAGCATCCTTCCATCTCTGTAAAGACAGATGGAGGGAAGCTGAGTCATGCAGTCGTCTTTGTTCTCCTGATCAGTCCACTGGACCTGATTTGCCAATCAGAGCAGTGCCACCACTTTTGGTTTGGTGCCATGTTGGGGAAAATTAGTCCAGCAGAGAAGACGTGTGATCAGGATCACTTTTGCTATTGTAGCTATTCATCTACCTTGACAGGGGTGTGTGCTTGGCACACATCTTTTTGTACAGTGTCCATAGCATTCTGATTCTAACAATGTTGTCATACATGTTTTCAGGGCAAGACAGAAATTACTAGAAAAGTGAGGAGGAGGGAGGAATTTTTTGAAGGACTCTCCTGTGAAGCGAGGTGCTCTAGAGGGGAAGGAATTGTCAGCTCTGTGCTTAATCAGCAAAGCTCGGGAGTTTGTGCTTAGCTCTTGCTGAAGGCAGTAAGTTACTGTGCATAAGTGCCTTGCTGAATGGGAGCTTGTATTGCCGAGAAAGTGGGACACAGTGCAGGAAATTACCTATGTAGGCAACAGTGAGTGCTAATCTGAACTGAATAGGATACAGCTACCTTTGTTATGGAGAGCACAAGCCAGACCTGGCAACTTGGCTGGAACACAGGCAGGAAGAAGCAAGGGAATCTTAGCCATGTGTGCCTCTGCTTTTACCTCCTGCCCAAAGGTTGTATGGTATGACAGGAGGTGTCGTGCCAGTGAAGGCGCTTACTCTTGAAAATACGGTCTTTGGCCCACGGTTGGATGAGTGGGAACTGGCTGTGGTTGGAAAGCATTGATGGCAAAGATCACTAGCAAGTCTAACGTGTC